GGAGCATCATCCTGTTTAAATCTAGATAACAGATTGTTCCAAATTCCTTGTGCAGTCGCTATGAAAAGTAAGTTTTGACCAATCTTTTTATCAACAGAATTCATCAGCCAAGTAGAAACTATGTCATTACACCTAGACCAAGCACCAAAATCTCTATGATCTTCAGGTGGTTTAAGAATAGTACCATTAATAATTCCCAATTTGTTTCTGACATTCAAAGCCATCAGAATCGAGCGACGCCAAGAATGAAAATCCGAAGCATTCGTAAGACGATCTGAAACAAGAACGAGACCAGCATGATCTGCGCTATGAAGATAATACGGATTTTCATATTGATCAGCTGGATAACGCGTTTGTTCACCAAGATTGTTGGCCGATGATGGAGGAACATAAGATCCCATTTTTAGTGTGAAATTGGAAAATTACAAAGAAAGATGTTACGAAATGATGAGAAAAAGCAAGATTCGTAAACACCAGAGTTCAATCAAAGAGAAAAATGAAAAGCGGAATGGAAAATTGTTTCCGGCGAACAACTTTAAAGAAATCGCAAATCGCGAAACTGAAAAACGAAAGAAATTGAAGCAATGTAACAACCGGAGAAGTTAGCTCCGACGAACAGAAAGAAAGCGGAAGATCAGAATAGTATGCTTTGATACCATATTAAACTCTGATGATCGGAGGTTTAAGATCTGAGAGGTTTAAGCAAACGGAAGAAAGATCTGAGAATGAAACACTCAAGAGAATTGGTTAAAAGATCTAAAGAACAAAAAGAGCAACCACAGTCATGTGAATTTACAACCCCAAGACTATAGTGGAAGAAAAGTGTTCTATGAAGAAGATCACATTATCAGTAATTGAATTCGAGATCAAATTTGAAGATGCTTCTCTCCAAAATTTTAGATGTCTTAGGTTGTCTTTATGTAGTACTCTTCTTTGTTTAGTTATGTTTATTTAGTATCGTGGAGTGGTTTGAATCAAAAAGGATGCATGGAGCAAGAAGAATGGTGAAAATTCGGAGTTTGAAGCTTGCAAAAATAAGCGGTTGGTCCAACCATGAGATACGGTCACCCTACCACATGATTGTACTTAAATAAATAATAAGATAATCTCCTTTCTATATATGTTACGAATACGTCAAAAATCCCATTTTTTTGGAGGGGATCTAACTTTCCCAAGAAAAACATTATAACCACATTTATATATAAACCAAAATCTGGCCACATTATAACCATTTCGTAAATAATCCATTTATATTCTAAGAATCTTAGATTTGGAACACTACAAAATCTTAGCTTAGAAACTATCAAATCTCATCTTTGCTATATTTTTGGATTTCTTATACTTAAATAAATAAAAAAGAAATTTTCTATTTATACTATAAAATCTCGAAATCTTTAAAACATACGGAAGGGCATATTGCCATAAATGGTAACATTTCGTCGATACTTTCTTTATCAAGTTGAAGCTTTATTCAAGATTCAAATATTTCACGGGTAAAACGTATTCTTATATGAAATAGTCCCAAATTTGAATTAAAAAAAAAAATTATAACATGTTTCGTTTTACACAAACGGATCTTGGATCCCGGATAATAATTTAATCATAATAATTTTACTTGAATCATTTCATCCCGCACATAGTGTGAGTTGTTATCTAGTAATAATTTATGTTGAAAACAAAATTAAGTTTTCGTAAATTTCATTTTATTTATATTCAAATATGGAGATTTTTCTTAAACGCGTTTGAAAATTAATTTTAAATACTCATTTCTTTGATACTTAAGTAGAAAAATAATTAGGTGCACAAAAAAAAAGAGTAGAAAAATAAACAAAGGGTATTTGTTTAAATTTACCAGGTTATTTTGGCTATTTCAATAATTAAGTGGGTTATTTTAGCAAATCTCCCAATCTAATAATATAGAATTATTTATAAATAATAATCAGTTTATGTAAAACTTACCAGTTGTGTTGTTCATAGGAAACGCTATCATTTGTAAAAGTTTCCAACATTCGTCATGAGTTAGGAGTTCTGGTTTGAAGTTCACACAATGTGGATGTACATCATTATTGCGAGAAGTAAGCAACACTTTCCAACCAGCTGCTATTAACAAACACAAGTGTTTATGAGCAATTTGTGGGCTTTTTTACTATCTTTCTTAAAAGAAAAAGAATGAATCAAATGGTAAAGTTTTAAAAAGAATATTATGCCTAGCTAAAGAGGTTACCTTTTCTCTCTGGAAACATTGGCTTTATTGTGTCCCAGTCTTTTCTTTTCCATACATCGTCAAAGACGATCAAAACTTTTTTTGTTTCCAACAACAGAACGAGTTTCTTCTGAATTTCGTCTTCCTTCACTTCTGGATCTTTATCTCCAGGACTAAGATTCCACAAGATTGTCTGCCACACATCCTTCCGTGTAAAATCTTGTGATACACACACCCACGCAAGTCCATCAAAATGACCCTTTACCCTATCATGATTAAAAACCTGCCGTGCAAGGGTGGTTTTGCCAAGACCACCCAAGCCAGTTATAGATACCCCATGGCTGCTATCGTTTCCCACCAATTCCTCAACCAACTTCTCAACATTTTTCTCCAAACCAACAAGATTGCTTTCAGATTCAATAGGAAATGTATGACGTGTCTCCCTTTCCTTATCCATTAGAGCCTGCGAATACCCACTGTTCATAATGTCCGACTTTATGTTAAAAGTCTGCATAACGTGGATCACCTTGGAGATCCTCTTACTGATGCTTGTGATTTCCAAGGCAGTCTTCCTACGACCACCTTGAATGCAAGCAAGACTTCGCATCTGATTCTTGATGCCATTTCTTTGTTTTGCCTTCAGAATAAAGGTTTGGATTATATCTTCAGCATCATAAGTGATTTCCTTTACTTCTTCCACGCAGTTTCTCGCAAGTGCACTTGTTTGCTTCTTTTCATCTGCATCATTCAGAAAAGACATTAACATATTCAAATCACTTTTTAGCTCAGTAATTTGCTCTCCAACTCCTTGCAATCGCTCGTATTCTTGGCTGAGGAACTCCCAAAGCTTTTCAACACCAAACGATACAATTGCCTCAGCCATAATTGTCCTGCTTAAGAGGAAACATTAGCAAAGTATCATTGCAGAGATGTTGCCATCATCAAAATATGATGAACCTTTGTGAAAAGCTTCTTCACAAACTTTCAAATGGTGAGTGTGTTATTAAAATGTGAAGAAACTTTGTAAACAAAGTGAAATCAAATTAACGTATAAACTGACTCACCTAGTCGAAAGGAAATTCGTCCTCGTCGTCCTTTGGAAGAAGAGTGATGATTGTTCTTTTGTAGTCTTAAGTTATTATATGGGAGCTAGTAAGTTTGGACAAAAACATTTAAATTAAGAAAAGACTTTGTGCCATTATGGTCAATTAAAGACAATAAATTATCATACCACTATGGCTTCAACTTCGTTGGTTTAATCATTCTTTAATTACGTGATCCGTAATCTCCGTAAAATGTCTGCCTAATCATCAAAAAAGAGGAATCATAAAAGATTGTGTTTCTAGAAACATAGTGACAAGCACTAAAAGCCAAACTTGTCCAATTCTGTTGTCAAGATTATAATAAACTCCGATTTACTCAAATTAAAAAATAATAAACACAAATTTTTGATTTAAATCTTAATTATAAAAATTTGATTGATTGGGTAGAATTTAAAGATTGGATAAAATTAGAAAGAAGAAGAAGAAGAGTATATGGTGAATCGGATAAGGTCGAAAATACATAATGATCCTAGCTAGTTGAACGCCTATAGTATATTATAGTATATGTGAATTGCTAAAATAAAAATCTTATGATGCTGAAGAGAAAGATTTTCTTGAAATTCATGCGATAGCCAAATTATTTACTGTGAGCTTGAAACTAGGCTTCAAGTCAACAATACATCAAAGATCACAATTCAGTTTGGAATCCATGGAACTAGTAGCTTGTATGTCTTCCGTACAAGTTACCATATCTTCTATTCCTTCTTCATCTTTACACCAACAAAAGGTGTTATGACTTATCATTATGACTGCTCTAGACACGAGTGAAAAAATTTCAACAAATAGAGTTCACCTGTTGTCTTGTGCGGAAGACAAGCTTTATGAGATTTCAATCCAGGTTATACATATATATGCTCCTCATAATCTAGTCTAAGCTTTCATCTTATTGTTTGCTGAACATATTTTCATATGAACTACTGTGAAAAACACACCCATGCAAGTGAATCAAACTTCTTTCCACTTTTGTGTTTCTTGGAATTGTTTTGCCTCTTTCAGAAAATACGGTAACATCCTCATATATGACGTTGTATCTCAATAACTTGCTCATTAACTCTCTACGAATATTCAGATTTTGATTCAGAAGCTACCAAAGCTATTAAACTCCAAATGAAATGTGTAATAGTCTCAGCCACAAGTCTCCATTTTTAACCATGAATAGTAAAGTGAATAGTTTATATATGAGGGTTCATTGCAAGAAATAGTAAAGCACAAGTTCAAAGCCATTACCAAGTTATAAACTTACAAAGTTACATACAGAGATAAAGATTGTAGCAGTCAAGCCGAGTCGCTTGGTAACACATAGACTATAGAGTATCATACTAATTAATGCAAGAATGACATGCAAAGTAATAGATAGATATATGAGTTTGTCATACCAGACAGAGTTCGTGAATACCCAAAACAGTGCATGAGATCAAGTTTCAGTTAGACACATAAGGAATCCATACATGATTATGTGGCACATTACAGGGGAAGAGCCCAAAAGGCCTAACATGAACATGAGCCACTCCAAGAAGTGTTATGTTGGCTTTGCAAGGAGGGCTCTTAACATAGTAACTAATGAATAACCAGAGTTAATAAGATGTCACTATCCATCATCGAGAAATTCGTCTTCTAGCTGCAAACATGTATAAACTCAAAAACACTAAAAAGAAAGTTATAAACAGAGGATATAATTCTATATTGTAAGCTGCTTTTAAATTCATCTTTTATATTGTAAACTGATAAGAAGGTGACTACAAAACTCGGTAATCCATAGCTACTTTTAAAATTGTAGCACCAAGGTGAGCAAAGATTACCATGTAAGAGATTATCAATGTGCATGGTACTTACTGCAAATCAAGCCAAACTTCCAAGTTCGATTTGCAGCCAATCACAGTTTTTGCTATCAGACTCTAGATAAAAGCTATAAGTTGGAGTAATCAAGACAAGAGATCATCACCAAATAACAACAATAGGGACTCAGCCAAAGCACTCTCTGAGGATGTAGATTCCAAATTAGTTGGATTTGAAGACGAAATCGGGTAAAAACAGAGAATGAGGGACGACCCATTTTACCCAATTTCTCCTTCAATCCAATTAATTTCGAAGGAGGGTTTGAGGGAGATATTCTCTCTAGAACAGAGCTCATGAGGTTTTGACGTGTGGTTCTAATCCAATTTTAGGGTTTGTTTTTCCTCCTGCAATTGCCATGTCGATTTATTATCAAATTGATACAAATGGATCAAGATAAAAAAAAAAAAAAAAAATGGTACGACCGGCCTAAGAAAAAGATTCGAGGCAGGGGCGGACTTCAATCGCAACTTCCTCATTCTGTTGTATCCATTGTGGAATGATGAACTTGATAAAGGTAGTCGATTTTCATTTAATCTCAATAGGGGTGGCTGATTTTATAGCCATAAACTAGTTGCATTCTCAGCTTTTCCCCCCAACCTTTTCGCTCCAGCTAATTCCACCATTAACTTAGATAATTCTCGCAATTTCAACATGTACTTTCGGATTCATCCTTAAAACTACGCCTCCAATTGAACCGGCCAATAAACCGGTACCACATAACTCGGTTTGATTTAATTCAAATTTAACCAAATTTAAACCCGATTTTGACCCAATCTTCTTCTTCTTCACCCGATGAACTAGGACTACGAGGAAGCGGAGGAGCTAGCGGAGGAGGAGGGTGGTGACGGTGATGAGGTTGATACTCAATTGCGGCGGTTGTGGATGAAGATGGAAGAAGAGACGGTGGTGGAACAGAGGAGGAATCGTCAGGTTCACGGCGGTGGAAGTTACGGTGACAACCACAAGCTGCACACTTGAGAGAAGTTGGATCGGAAGGTGTTGAAGAAGGAGACGGCATGAATTCTCCGCAACCGTCAAGCGCGTGACCACCAATCGCCGCCGAAGAAGAATAAGATTCGGTTGGGTTGGCTGATTTTATAAAATTTTGGTCAAAATCGGGTTTAAATTTGGTTAAATTTGAATTAAATCAAATCGGGTTATGTGGTACCGGTTTAATGACCGGTTCAATTGGAGGCATAGTTTTAAGGATGAATCCGAAAGTACATGTTGAAATTGCGAGAATTATCTAAGTTAATGGTGGAATTAGCTGGAGCGAAAAGGTTGGGGGGAAAAGCTGAGAATGCAACTAGTGTATGGCTATAAAATCAGCCAACCCATCTCAATATGAATATAGTTTTTTCGTTTAGTCGTTTCCCTTTTTGGTTTGGTTATTCGAATTTGCCTATGATTAGATTGGACTACAATTTACCTGGACAATTCCATGAAGCTTAATTGATAGACACTCTATAGAGAGAGAGACATAAGCTTGGTGAAAAGTGGAAAATTTTACACTTACACTTACCCAAAATTTAGATGCTCACATTTTCTTTAATAAAAAGCATATGACAAAATGAAGACCAAACTCATATATGTGTCACTAACAAATATCTATCTACAAACACACGCAAGTACATCATCAGCATATTATCATTCTGTTTTTGTTTTTTTTTTAACTAGTGAGGAAATAAGAAAAATAGTCCCAGAAACGGGGACCAATCCGAAAGGGCAAAAAAAGAATGTGTTTTTATGGTTCTTTCAATAACAATCCTGGAAATCAACCAGATTTCTAATACCTGTAAGATGATCCAGACTGTGGCGGTGCTGGTGGGAGCCGGTTTGGGGTGGTCCGACGGGAGCTGCCGCCAGATCCAGAAGAATCCTCACCGTTCTGCGCTGGATCACTGTAACGGCGGCTATGGCCGCCAGATCCGTATCTCTTCAATGAGTCAGGTCCACTAGCAGCTGCGTTAAACGCATTCATCCAGTCCTCTCCTGATGACCCTCCATTGGTTCTCGGGCTGCTTTCTGCGGATAAGAACAAACAAAGACAATACACGAAAATGAATCAATCCCATGCATTTTGTGGTTACATATTAGCACAATATTGAAAGGGTAGATGAGTGAGTGTACATATACCAGTGCCACTATTGTCAGACCAGCTTGAAGCAGCAGCTGCTCGGTTATCGTGAATGCTAAGTTGTCTTGTGAGCTTTGAGAGAAGAGAGGACTGTTTCTGGTAACGGTCTCTTCGTCTTTTGACATTCTGATCCTCTTGAATCAATGATTCAATCCTCTCATTACCAATTGCGCTGCAGATTAATGGAAAGGATAGATATATAAGTACAACACAAACAGCCGTATTGATGTTACAATAATACATTGGGAAAGGACATGAACAAAACCTGATAGAGCTGTATAGCTGATTCAGCATGTCTTCCTTTGATTTCTCCACTTGACAGAGAACAACAGCCTGTTGAAGTCACAATTTTAGTAATGTGATTGAGTAATGAAAAGCGAGATGGCATGGGAAATTCAGGATCCACAAGAAAATCGAATAGTCCACCTTTGGAACATTGGCAGCTAGACTGTTGAGAACAGCTTCAACGTAACCCCGTACTTCTTGGGACATCCACCGCAATTCCTCTTCCGGATCGACCGGTTTCCTTACCATCTTATCCTGAGTAAGGAAAGAAAATTAGACAACTAAAGCAAAACTGTAATTTACCACCCCATCAGGAAAACTAAACGCCTCCAAACAAAGCTTATCTTAAACGCTTACGCCTAATAAAATTTTAACCCTCTTCAAGTACGACCCACAAAGACATCAGTTTTTACTCATTTATATATAGGGAATTTACAGCAAAGACTTTATCAGCATGATATTGGTACTGCATTAAGATCAGCTAGCAAACTTTTAAGGGAAAGTTGGAAAAGAAAAATCAATGAATAAGCAGATAGTTTCCTTGTGTGACTTACAAGTGAACCTTCTGAAAGACTTTGTCTCATGGAAGCGCTACCCACTTGGCCTCCTCGGGCCTGGATAACCTTTTGCAGCTTATTAATCCATTCATTCTTATCAACCATGCTCTCGGCCTTGAGAACCAACGCATTGTGAGCTGCAATATAAGAGCTTCTGAGGATTTGCTCATATAAAAGAGTGAAAAGAGGGTCAAGCAGTTAATATTGATAATCGCTTGACATACCTTTAAGTACAGTCTTATAAGGAACCCTGCAAGTTATCTTAAATACAAGGCCTGGTCCTTTTGAATCAGGTCCATTTGATTTCTTATCTTTAGAGCTCTTTGATTTATCTCCTTCATCATCAGAAATTTCTTCGATACTGCATTCCTGAGCAGATTAAAAAGTTTTATGAGACAAAAAGGATTGAATATTGTGTACCTCGATAAAATTTCCAAAAGGCTATATGTTATTTATGGAGTATCCAGGTATTCTTATCAGCAATAATGGTAATAAAACGTTTTATGGTGTACGCTTCACAATTACAAGTAATAATCACTCTGGTTAAAGGACCGGGTGGAAGAGCAATGTAAATATGAAACCCTATTATTATTCTTTTAGTTGCAGTTATTTTCGACTTTGACCAAAGAAAAGCAAGCTACAAGAAAATTTTACCTCCAAAGTTACAGTGCCGCGGAAGTTTCTCTCTTCTTGTTTTTTTGTATAACCAAGCTGAAGAAAGGTAAATGCAAAGGCAGATCACTTCAATATCAATTAAAAAAGAAAAAAGAGAGTAAAATTGTGAGGGATAGTATACTACCAGCATTACAATTACAATTAGAGTGCACACAGCTTTCTTTTTCGCAAATATTTGGATCAATACTAACCTTTCCAGTTTTTTCATTCAGAACAAACCATCGCCTACTCCACCCATTTGTCTTTGCACTTTTCTTCATTAAGTACCCTGCACAACAGAAGAAAATTTATGTTGAAGACCTTGGCAGTTGGTTTTCATAACAAACTAAAACCTCGAAAACTTATCCTACGCTAGGTCAAGGCTAAAGTGGTAGACTATTAAAAAGAAGATCGCAAAATTGGACCAGAAAAGCTCTGAAGTTGGTTTTTATCAACAAATAAAGAAAAGTTGATCCTGCACCAGTTTAATGCTTAAATGACAGAAAGGAAATAGAAAAGAAGATAAAATCATGCAATTTGAACTGACAGATAACATGTAATGCAAGGAAAATGGATCGTTAGTAAAAAAACAATTGTTAGATAGCCACTGTAGAAATATGGAAGAATAAGGACCTGCTGTTATCTCTCCCTCAGGTCCAGCAGTCTTCAGACCAGACACCTCCGGAGTCTCTTTATCTTTATCTTTGTCTTTATCTTGCGGCATTAATTTGTCTCTCAAAGATTTTAAGCTACCACCAGTTGATGATGGCCCATCTGGCTGAGGACTAGTTGCCTGATTTACAAGCAAAAACAAGAATTGTTTCATTATGTACTTTCATATAAGAAAAAAAAATAGTAGAAGCACTATCCAGTTAAGTGAATCCAGATTGATTCTGAGATAAAAGCAAACCCTGTTTAAGAGAGACTGCTCTGCATCTTGTCCCTTTTTAGAGGAACGACCTTTTAGCTCCTCCTCACGACGCTGCCTTTCCATTCTGATAAAGATAGTAAACCGCACAGCCAAAAAAACAAAAATATAGTGAGATATGCATCACATAAGAACTTGTAACATGTATATTGTAAATATTATGGCTTTCAGCTATGGGACTATTAAAAAGGTCAAATTTGTGAATGTAATGAAACTATTCAGATACATAAATGTTCCTTTCACAGGCAAAGATATAAAAAATAGCCGGACACACAAGAAAGTAGATCCATTTGAACATGCTTAAAACCGTCTTACATTAAAAGATAGGAATTTTAAGATAATAATCTATACGTTTGAGTATGATAACGCCACTCGAAATGACAGCCAAAAAGCAAAGAAAGGGAAGCTGATGTTACCTTCTTTGTACGAGGCGGATGAAGTGCTGAGGTGGTACAAATGCACGCTCCATATCAACTAATGCAACTACCATCTTCTTAGCTTCATTCTTGAATCCATCAAGTGCGGCACTTGCTATTGCTACAACCTGGTTGACGATTATTTAAGAAAAGAACAGCTATTAGTAATATGAAAAATGCTACTGAAAGAGCAGTGGAAAGCATTATTACCTCTCTCTTAAAAGGAGGATATCTCCCAAGACCAGGTGTGGCATTCGCGGAAGCTGAAACTATGTCAACAAGCACTCGGTGAACCTAATAAAAAGTTCAGACCATATTAGCTCAGTAACAGATGAGACTGTAAGGCAACCAGGTTGGAAAATCATCAGAATAAAAATGAACCATGACAGTATTTGTGATAAGGTTGAGTAGGACTTTAATAAATCTGGATCAGGAGAATAAAAATATCATAGTGAAACGAGTTGAAAAGACCATGTGTGACAAGCCATAGCCAATGTTTCACTATTTAGTAAATTTCTAAATTTCAATCCTACGCAGCTCAAACAAGAGGAAGACAACACCAGATATAAACACTAACATGGACACACCTCATCAACACATAGTCGTGCTGGGTCTTTAGCCAACTCAAGAACGGTTTTTATTAACGATCTCAACCCTTTCTCTGGAGATATAAGATAAGGTTGATAACCATCTGCCTCCAACACGATCTGAAACAATTGGAAAATCAATCTGTTACACTCCAGTCTAAAACTTTTACTTGTTTATAAAATTCGAGGCAAAAATTTTAGAAACCCACCCTTTTGACATTGTTTAAGTCAAAATGTCTATCCAATGGAAGCTGTTTGATACGGTTGGGGAAAGTGCCTTCAAAACTTGCAACAACCTTCCAACCACTTCCCTGAACCAAACTTTTATTAGAGAATAATATTTACCGAAATCCAAAAGGGGCTTCAGCACATGAACGGGCACAACCACCAGACATGCAATTCAAAAACTTTTCCCGTGAAGCATCTCACATATAGATACAGTATTAGTATCGTGAAATACTAGATGATATCAGACAATCTTCCTAAATTTCTTAATTGTCT